CAACCTCCCTGCCAAAATAAAATAAAATTTAAGAGAAAGAAGAAAAGAAGAAGAAAGGGGGGGAAGAGAAGGCAAAATCAATCTTGTCATGGAAGCTGTAGTGTAACACAGTGAGTCACACGGTAAACACTTTTATCCATATATCTTTACTTGCAAGTATCCATTGCAGAGAGTCATTGGTCTGGTTTGAGGCTTCTTGTTTCTGCTACACTATTGATGCAGGTTCCTCACTGGAACTCCCCTTGGTTATCCTGCTGTTGCCCTGTGTTGTGGTATCCTGCAGCTTTGGGCCTATAGGACCGGTTCTTTCATGTGCTCAAGCAGATCATGGATAAGGGGGATGTTGGGGAGTGCCAACGTATAACCCTGGTTCCGAGCCTGGGTAGTTGCAGGATTGTTCAGTCCACCATATGTCCCTTGTCCTCAAAACCAGGGTGAGCTCTATTGCATTGCCCTAGCTAGTTTACCCCTTGCAGCAATGAGCAAAAGGTGGGGCCAGCTCTCCCACTTTCATGTCCTCATATCTTCACCTTCAGGGCCAGCACTACTGTGTTGCCCAGGCATGGAGTAGGGGCCTCTCTCCTGAATGCTGCAGCTGATGGGGGGCAGGGACAGTTCTCCCTCTCTTCTGACCTCAGAGTCAGCTCTCACAACTGCTCCAGGCATTGATGGGAGGAATGGTCCTCTGCCATATGACAGATGAGTAATGGGAATAGCTCTCCCATTACTGGTTCATGCGTATCTCCACCAAGTCTTGACACAGCATCTTTCACTGAAGCTGGAGCAAGGCTGGCAGCCAGAAAGCCCCCCAGATTCTCATATCTGTACTCCTGCAATGCTCTGAGATTGCAGACATACATGCCCATACTTGGCATTTTACATGGGCACTTAGGTCCTCATGTTCTCAAAGCAAGTGCTCTTACCAAAGAAAGTCACCTATCTTCCCAGCTTAAGAGAACTGTGTTGGTTAACATTGCCATTTTGACATAGTCTAGATTCACCAGGTAAGAGAGTCTCAATGAGGGATTGTCTGCACTCACCTGGCCTGAGGACACGTCTTTGAGGAGTTATGGGGTTAATTGATATTTGAAGACCCAATGCACTGTGGACAGTACTATTCCCTAGGCAGGGATTCCTGAACTATGTAAAGTGGAGAAACTGAGCTGAGGACAAATGAGCAAATGAGTATGTATGCATTTTTCTCTTTGCTCTTGAGTACAGATGAGAAGGGACAAACTGTTTGAAGAGTTTATCTTGAATTTCCCACTTGATAGATTGTAGCATACAATTGTAAATGGAAATAAACCCCCTTGTCCTCTAAGTTGCTTTTTGTCAGAGTGGTTTTATCACAGCAACAGAAATTAAACTAGAACAAGGACCAAGAAAGAAATTTTAAGACACAAGTGAGAAAGAGTAGAAGAAAGATAAATGTTCAGATAAACAGAAAGTCAATAAAACAAACATCATAGTTACTAAAGAATCAAGTCAAAAAAGGAGAGATGATTGGATTTAGGAACTACTTCAAGTTACCCATATAAGCATAAGGTTGCAAAGAGATTCTCATTGCAAAATATTTCCACCATACAGGCAGTAGATGAAGAAACAAAACAAAACCCAAAAACATTGTTCATCGGAAAATATGACATTCATGAGCTTTGATAATGCATGTCCTCTAGTTTTAATAATTATGCATTTGTGTTTGTATTGTTTTTCTCCCCCTCCTGTGTCTCTGTCTCTCTGTCTCTCTCCCTGTGTATCTCTCTCTGTCTCTCTGTGTCTCTGTCTCTGTCTCTCTTTCCCTCCTCCCGCCTCTCTCTCTCTGTGTATGTGTGTGTGTTCTGTCTCCCTCCCTCCCTCCCTCTCCCTCCCCCCTCTCTCTCTTTCTCTCTGTGTGTATGTTTTATGTATGCGTGTGTAGGCCCCAAGCTGGTGTTGGGAGTCTTTTCTGATTTCTTTCCAACTTATTCATTGAGGCAGGGTCTCCAAACCCAGAGATCGCAAATATTTCTAGTCTAATTAGCCAATGACTTCCACCTCTGCCCTCAGAGACCTACAGCAGCAGGCAGGACCATCCCACACCTACCATGTATGTCCTCACATTTGCATGGCAAGACTCTGCTCACCCCACAATCACCCAACCCAATATAATTTAGTTTTTAATAATAGTTGTATTTAGCAAGCACACATAATTCCTATAAATATAATGGCAAGTCCAAGACAAAAATAAGTTGTCCTAATACATTTATATCTGTCATAAATCCCTCAAATTTATTCAGTCCCATCAATTTCAGACCTGATCTTTGTTGGCTCTTGAGCTAGTTGCAGGGAAAATAAATGTAAATATGATACAATCTCTAAACCTGAGAATTTATGTTCAGTGAAGAGATGCTTGAATCAGACACTGTCCAGGAGTATGATGAGTGCTTTAATAGAAGTCTGTACAGGTTTGACAAAAGCACAGAAGAGATAACTCATATAGAAACAATGCTCTTTGGCATAAGATATAACTTCTATGACTTCCTTATTTATCATTCTCAGCTTCCCTGATAATTCCACTTGAGTTCAGATAGTGTAACAGGATGGTTAGAGGTATAGACCATGCCCTTAGGTAGACCTATGTTCTGCTACTTAACATTATTTAATTGCTAAATAGTCTTCATTTGCAACAAAGAGTTCATCATGCCTATTTCACAAAGTTGTTATGAAGATGAATAGAGATGATGTTAATAAAACATTTAGCAAGTTCTTGATATATAACATGCCCTAAAATGGAGCAGATGTCAGCGACTTCTTGATCCCTGGTTTTGTTCCATTGATACCAAAATATTTGTGTTTTTCTGAACACAATTGATTGTGTGAGATCTGTGCCTTGTCCTGGTGAACTTTTGCTTGTTCTTTGCAATTTAATGTAAACATCATTCAAGAATTAGGCATACTTCCATCAGAGTCCCTATGATTCCAAACATGTATCTCATTTTAGCATTGATGGCAAGAAAACCTCAAACAGCATTCCTTGAAGATAAGGACCACACACTGGCCCACTTGTTTCAACGGTGCCTGACAGAAGCTGATGTACGATAAATCATAAATTTTAAGTGATCTAGGAAAGAGTCAGTATTCTAGCAATTTCACACATCTTAAATCATCTTGGCATTTGATCTGGTCATTCCAACTTTGGGTGTGAATTAGGAATTAATATGAGTTAGAAGAATTCCCAAATATAGCAACTTTACAGTGCTATTTGTAATGCCGTAAACCATAAAAGAAGCCAATAATATATGAATAGACACATGGTCAGTATTGAAAATATAACAATGTAGCAAGCTAATGTGTAGTCATTAAACATGATAGGTATAAAAACTATGCAATAATATAAACTGAGAGAGGAAACTTAAAGGTATAACACAAATGTACACAAAGATCCATCCATACATGTGCACATTAGCCTGGAGAATAAGAACTGAAATGAAGTGTGCAGGGTTAACAGGATTTGAGTTCAGGGATTATATGGGATCACCTGATTTAATGAGAGTTCTGCCCAGAATTTGGGAAGGAACCATTTCAAATCTTATTTTCTATGTATAAAGTTTTAAGATGACAATGTGCTATGTACCCTAGTTTCCTGCATTTCCCTAGGAATATTCAAGGTTCTTGGGACAGGCAGGATCAGAGAAAGACATAGCTGTATTTCCTCAGTAGGGAAATTATTTGGGGCTTCCAAGTAGAGCCTTGTGGGCACACCTGTCTATGAAGCAGAGCCTGGTAGGAAAGAACATGACAGTCAGAATAAAGTCATCCACAGTCTGGGGGAATTGTGGTCAGAGAAGAGAATATCAAAGTTTTGAATCCTAAAATGAAGTCATTTAGACAGTCAGGCTGAAATAAATGGATCTTCTTCTTGACCGTATTGTAAAATATAGTCTACTTATACATTAATTCATTAGATATCCTTGCCAGAAAAAGATTAGAACCATGGAGCTGAAGGAAGTATGTGCTATAAACCAGGTTAACTGGTCCACATTGCTGGAAACAGCTTCTCTGGTGATGAAAAGTAGATGCTGATTCAACACAGGTAGTAGGCACTAAGACACAGAAAGCCCAGTGAACAAGGGGGAACCTTAGGCCAATATCAAGTATGAGTAATATGCCATTCTATGATAGTGTGCCATGGACTACAACATCAACACATCTAACCCTTGAAACCATGTTTCCAAGCAAACAGAAACCTAGTGCCTTCCTTCTAAAGTCATAAAAGCCAATGAGAAAAGGAATGGGGAAGCTCTTTGTAATGTGTAAAATCTCACTCTGTTAGCTAGTACTGTGATGGTACCTCTGTATATGCAAATAGTGATAGATAGAAAAGATTCTTAAGTGCTTCTCTTGAAGCCAATCGAGGTTTTAATTGACACTTTAGGCCATGGTTTTCATTTGTCTAGAAATTTTATTTATGTGGAATGCCTCATTTTCTAATATGGCTGAATAAAAATGCATTATTGCTCCACTGGGATAATGTCTCAACACTCAGAACAAATGATTTATTCAAAGTCTTTCTTGAGCACATTTTGGGGGGGTGGCAAAATAGCTTGGGGCATGGGGGAGGAGATGCCACAGATGTGGAAAGAAAGGGGCAGCAGGTTGTCTAAAACAAACTTGCCTTACTCCCCACTTTCATAAGTTAGCCAGGGACTGGCTGTCAGGCTGTCCGCCAAATTCCAAAGGACGAGTAAATAAACAGTTAAGGCAAGTTACTCTGCAAATTTGCACATGGCCACCCACACAAGCCCTAAATGAAACTCATGCCAACTGAAAGCAGGCTGCATACAGCCGAATAAGAGCTGTTAACATGCCCTTTCCTCATTAGGTACCCTTCCTGGACTTGAGCTCAGCCATACTTCCATAATGTCCAGAAGTAAAATAGTTAATGTGAGAACCCCCACACACACCACACCACACCCACCCTGCACTGATTTTTTTTCTTTCTTTTTCTTTTTTTGCTTCAGGCAGATCCACTGGTGCATACAAGCTCTTCGACCTTGAGGAGGGACTACAGTTGACAGTGGTGTGGTCAGATTTATGCTTGCAGGGAAAAAAACCCTATATTTCCTGAAATGGCTTAACTTAGTCCAGCTCTAACTGGATTCTATTGCTGTTTGATTTCCAGAAGAGCATGTGCCCGATTGCCCAAGGGAGTAGGCAATCCTCAGAATGAATATTGAAATACCCAGTCATTATTTGCTCTGGGGGACTGCCAGAGCTGCCTGCTGCCTGGGCTTTAGTGGAACTGAAAAGGGAGCTCCTATTTTGAAAACTCAAAGTCATTCTCTGGGGTTCCTTTCATTAAGATTGAAATAAAGACCCTGACTAAACATAGTTGAGCCACAACAACATGTATGATGAGAAAGCACGTTGTGCCTGTGATCACAAAACTTACAGTGACTCCGAGGGTCAATCACTTGGACCAGATCCCTCACCTACATTTCCCCACTTGTATCTGCAGATGAACTGGTGAAAAGTCAACACCAAGAGCAGGTTTGAGAAAAGAGATGTACACTAAGGAACCTACCAACAAGGCATATGAGCAGCTCAGAGAGCAGCACACGCATCCAGGGAGGTGGTCATACGTCTTTGAACTGCATGCTTGTTTGAAAGCCACCTCCCCTAGCATCCTTTGCAAAGGCAGAATTTGTGAGAGGCAGAGGCAGCAAAGCATGGAGCAATGGGATGGGCCGAAGATTCCCTGGGCATTTTTCTGAAGGCCCGTAGTTCTAAAGGTCACCCTGCTAACTGGGAAGGGATTTCATGGGTTGGTGGTGAGTCTGCCTCAGGAAATGATACAGTTGAGACTAGCCATGGCATTTAGGATTCCCCCTTCTCTGTAGCGATAGGCTGTGATTGCTCTGAAGAAAAAAAAATGAAAAGAAAACAAAATTTCCCTTGGAGGAATTGTGAATCTTCTCACCACTGGAGGACAATGACTCCTCTCAAAGCAGGTCCCAAGACCCCATTAGGTAAAATATCCTGTTTTAATAATCAAAAGTAACATTTTATTTAATTATAGAAAGTATACCATTTATTTTTTAAAAAATGGCTCCGCCTTGCTCAACTTGCTGCCCTTGAAGACTGCAAAACACAGGGGCGCAGAGCCTTGCTTGCATGGGGAAAATTTGAGATGCTGGGCCTGACTACAGCATTCCCACGAATAAAAGACTGGACCTTGATTTAGGGAGAAGCTAGAGTTGGAGTTTCCATGGCAACCAAATCAGAAGCACATATTAACGGGAGGCAAAAGCAATTGGCAGTTTGCCTGGGCATCACTTAGAAGCATTAGCCTCCTAAGGTGAGTGCTGTAAATAAGAGTGCAGAGCAACCACTCAGGACCGGAATCAAGTTCAACAGCCTTCACTCATGCTGCCTGAGAAGGCTGTTTCACTGTTGGGGGCAAAGGTGTGCCCAGGAAGGTTCACATACAGAAGGTCTGTGTAAGGTCAGGGACTGCATCCCATGCTTGGGACTCATTTATGAAATTTCATGCATCTTTCTCACTCAGTGTTTACAAGTACAGGGTCATATTTCCCCAGCATGGTCTTTTAGTGTGATCTAGTTGTATGGTGCTCCCGGTGTGGACCAGTTCCTGCCATGGAAGCATCAAAGTATGTCCAGACCCATCTGAACACAGATACTGCCTTTTCATGGTATGTGTAAAATGTTAGAGGCCCTTCAGTGGTAGCTTTTGGATCTGCAATTAAGGATTGGGATTATCAGTTAGATATGATGGATGGGCCCTACTTTTGGCTACTGAAGAGCTAATTTCAGAGTCAAGTTTGCTAACTTGTTTCCTGCATAGCTTTAGGCAACTTGTTTTAGGCTCAGCTACCCCATATATCAGATGGGGATAATCAGTTTTCACCCAGATTTCACAGGATTAAATAATCTATTCCAAGTTAAGGGAGCCTGGCTATCTCCATCAGAAAACAACTACTCTTTCTACTACACCCTCTTCACCCATTTATTTTTGCCATGTTGAGAACCCCACAATCTAGCTGTTACTGTCAGTTTTATTTAATTCTATCTCACTAAATTGTGAGTTCTTTGAAGACAAGAAAGCTACTTTAACTTGCCCCCCCACCCTGAGCATTTCTCCTTTATATAGATTAGTATACTTGGACAATAGCAAGGAGATCAATAAATGTTGGTTTAAATGAATGTAGTTTTATTAGGTGTATTTGAATAGAATTGCATTTACTGCCTTCTAATTTTGTCAGCTACTCCTTCCTGGTGGGTGTATCTATACTGGACAATAGTCAGGGCTGGGCGGCTTGGGTGAGCAGAATCTAGAGTGGATTCCAGAGTTTGGGCTGGGGTAGAAGCACCATGGGCTTGGAGAAGTAAGCCTACTGTCTACTCAGTGTAAGGCCATGCAGCCCCATCCATTTAAGCAATGTTTCTGAAGCCACCACTATTGTATTAGCTGAAACAATCCTGTTAATAAGTCTCTCAATCTCTTTCCCTACTTATGAGCCCTCCCAAAAAACTTCCTCATCTCTAAGAAAGAAGGATGCCCTCACTGGCGAAGAGAGAAAGATTAACAATGACTTTCGATTGGTATCTATCTTTTGATACTTGTGTTTACACTGTGAATTTTAAATACAGATATTTGCCCTTTGTTTTATAGATGAAATAACAAGATGCAGCATTTATAAACTTGGAAAATCACCCTGAGTTAAATGATTTTAAGAATAAAAATGTAGCATGGTTTTCTATTATTTTTAACTTAGGGAATTTGTAAACATGATCCCTGGTCCTATAGGCACCAACTTTGCCCAGCTGCCAGAATGTCATAGCAGAGACAAGGGTCTGTAGTGCCATCCTCCCATCCCCAGGGCTCTTTAACCATCCATCAGTTGGATGCTTGTCTGCCGCCAGCCATTTATGTACTCAAACATGGGGATGATCTAAACTAAGTTCTTCTTGGTATTCTTGACAGTGCAATCCTGTAATAACCATATGCTATGACCCTTGCTTTTGTGGTCAGCATTGCTCCAGAAATGGCAGTGTGCCCTCACTGAAGTAAGCACTGATATGTTTACAGTTCTTCTAAAGGGGCGAAAAATGACTAGAAGTTGATTCTTATGGACGTTGTAGTGTAAACTGAGGAATCCAGTATTTCTATAACATGAGTCAGAATAAATGGAAATACTTCAATGGTTCTTCCTCTGGAGTCAGTATCACTGCAGTGTTTCAAAGCCATGTATCTTTAGTTGATCTACTCCATGGACCTACCTGCAGGTGCTTTTTATTACACTACCCTGTAGATGATAAGACTGTGACCCAGCAAGAGATCCTTTAAGTCAGGTAACTATGGAACACTTTCTGTCAGCTTCAGCCCAAGTTGTAAGATTCCATATTCTTTTATTCTTTTTTTAATTTAAATTAGAAACAAGCTTGTTTTACATGTCAATTCCAGTTCCCTCTCCCTACCTCCTCCCCTGCCCCCCACAAGCCCCATCCCATTCCCTTGCTGCTCCCCAGGAAGGGTGAGTCCTTCCATGGGGGATCTTCAATGTCTTTCATGTCATTTGGAGCAGGACCTAAACCCTCCTTCGTGTGTCTAGGCTGAGAGAGTATCCCTCTATGTGGAGTGAGTTCCCAAAGACCCTTCGTGTACTAGGGATAAATACTGATCCACTACCAGAGGTCCCATAGATTGCCCAGAACCCCAAACTGACACCCACGTTTAAGGGGTCTGCAACAGTCCTATGCTGGTTTCCCAGCCATCAGTATGGGGTCCATGAGCTCCCCCTTGTTCAGGTCAGCTGTTTCTGTGGATTTCTCCAGCCTGGTCTTGACCCCTTTGCTCATCACTCCTCTCACTCTGCAACTAGATTCCAGGAGTTCAGCTCAGTGTTTAGCTGTGGGTGTCTGCTTCTGCTTCCATCAGCTACTAGATGAAGGCTCTAGGAAGGCATATAAGGTATTCATCAATCTCATTATCAGAGAAAGGCATTTAAGGTAGCCTTTCCACTATTGCTTAGATTCTTAGTTGGGGTCATCCTTGTAGATCTCTGGATATTTCCCTAGTGCCAGATTTCTATTTAAACCTATAACAATTCCCTCTATAATGGTATCTCTTTTCTTCTCTCCTCTATTCTTCCCCTGACTGAATCTTCTTGCTTCCTCATGTCCTCCTCTCCCCTCCTCTTCTCCCCTTCTCTTTCTCCTAACTCCCTCTCCCCTCTGCCCTATTCTTCCAATTTTCTCAGGAGTTCTTGTCCCTTTCCCCTTCTCTGGGGTATCATGTATGTCTCTCTTATGGTCCTCTTGTTTCCTAACTTCTCTGGTGGTATGGATTATAGGCTGATAATCTTTTGCTCTATGTCAAAAATCCATATATGAGTGAGTACATACCATGTTTGTCTTTTTGTGACTGAGTTACCCCACTCAGGATGGTTTCTTCTAGTTCCAACCATTTGCCTACAAATTTTAAGATTCCATTGTTTTTTTCCGCTGATTAGTGCTCCATTGTGTAAATGTACCACATTTTCTTTATCCATTCTTCATTTGAGGACATCTAGATTGCTTCCAGGCTCTGGCTATCACAAATAATACTGCTAACTCTGAGATACCATCTTGCTCCTGCCAGAATGGCTAAAACCAAAAACTGCAATGACAGTTTACACTGGAGAGGATGTAGAGAAAAGGAAACATTCCTCCATTGCTTGTGGGAGTGCAAACTCATACAGCCACTTTGGAAATCAGTGTGGCAGTTCCTCGGGAAAATGGGAACCAGTATACCACAAGATCCAGCAATTCCACTCTTAAGCATGTACCCAAAAGATGTACATTCATACAACAAGGACATCTGTTCAACTAGATTTTGTACTCTTAATTACTGCCTATTTTTGGGAAGGGGCTTGGAAAATTAAAATACTCATGCTCCATGATCTCATTATGTTAAGTGATATTTTCCCATTTTCTTCTCATTAAGACTTTTTCATGATGCAAATTTTGTCACCTCAATTTTTCTTCTACAATCTCTTTAATAATAACCATTAGTTAAATGGCCATTAAGGGAAGAATTATAGTCCATCTCACCTTCTCTTTTTACCTTCCTTCCCACAGTTACTGAATTCTTTCTTCTAAGAACTAAATTAATCCTGAGAATACCCACAAAATAAAACAAAGCAAACAAACGAAAGCCAATCCCCACATTCAAGAGTTTTACATTTGGTGGAAGATACACCAAAACAAATATCCTAATATCATTCTTGTATTTGCTAAATTAGCAGCATGCTCAAGCATGCTTACATTCACATTGTACTTTCTGTTATAGGGAAAGACTGTGTGTTCATTAAGCCGATGCCAACTAAAACGTCCAGATTTTCACAATTCTCTCCAATCCAGCATGTGCAATCCAGTTTCTAATGTAATTTTTTAGATTAAATATTTCTAACTTTTTGTCTCATTTAAGTTGTAATTAAAAGAGAATCACATTAAAAATAATTTTAAAACTTACCTTCAAGTAATATTTATAAAAGAAGTATTAAGAAACATGAGTGAATTTTGTGTTTGGACTTAGATCCTATCTCTAGTAAATATCACTAGGCATATGCAATAGTTCTAAAAATAATTTGAATACTTCTTGTCTAAAAGATTGCCGGAACTGTCTTGTCTTCCATCTGCTTTAAGCCTGTCAGTCCACAACTTGTTAGCTTTGCTTTGTATCTTCGATAACCTCCCCAGCATGTTTTCTTCCTTCTCATGTTTGCAGACCTACTGAGTATACCTTCTCCATCTCTAGTAGCTTTATAGAGGAGAAGAGTGTTCAGGCCAAAGCCCCAAGACACTATGAAATATGCCACTCTCTGTCGATGCTTAGGAATTAGCTACCTAATCTTTGATCATGGAACCAAGTGTGGACTTTACCTCTTGGTGCTTGCTTTCCTCTTTTCTAAATGGAATACATTACTTGTGGGCTCATTAGGTTATTAGAAATCATGACATTCTGCTAAAATCAAGATATGTCCCTATATATAGTACTCTTTGGTCTACTAAACAATAACCCCATCAAAGAATTAAAGTAAACAAATATTTGAATTTTGGTTCTTAAACAACCACTATCTTCTTGTCTGTTTCTTAGTTTCTTAGCTGCCTGATGAATAGCCCCACTTCCCCAGCTCCCTGCCCCACTCTCCCCTCACCAGTTAGTCTTGAGCTCCTCCAAGTCAGAAATGTAACTCTTTGGCTACAACACCTAGTATTCTTCTTGACTTGTAACAAATGATCAATAATTGTTGTTGAATATGAGTGAAACCATATGTCCTATTCGGTTTAGGTTCAAGTTTTGCTCAGAATATTCCTTTGCTAAATTGCATTGACAACTGCAAACCAACCATGTGATCACTTTTTTAAATTTATTGTTAGTTATGTGTTACTAATGCTAATCATTTTCAGTAATATCAATGGATAACAGAGAAAATGTAGCTTAATTTCTGTTTTATTTCTGTCTCTTCAAGGAAAAATCCCTTCATGTTGAAAATGGTGAAATAAAGCGAGTAGACTATAGAAAAAACTCAGCTATCTGTTCTCAAAAAATTCAAGTTCACCTACTCAAAAGTACTGAAAAGGAAAACATGATGGCCCCATCAGTGATGTTTGAAATGCTCCTAAGGGGAATCTTACAAGGCTAGTTATGCAAAGGGAAGCAGAATTCTAGTTTTCCAAAAGGAATGTGGTCCTGTTACTGGATATGACTCCTGGGCTGCTAAACAAATGGTTTGAGAACGTAGAGGAAACAGGAATGATGTCTTAGAGGCTGAGTTCAACTCCTATTGTTTCCTTTGATAATGTCACTGAACTGGTTCTATTGTGTCACAATTGTTCATCTTGGAAGCCATACTAACTACTAGGGGCACAATAGTGAGTGGACCAAATATGGCCCTTCCCACTCAAACTGAAGAGTCTTGTGTAAGCACATAAGTCATACACACCAAGCAAAACATTAATCACTATGATGTTTTAAAGACCATTTTTAATAGTTGACACTATTTAAAGTTGGAATTTTATGTGACAATATGGATCTCCAATTTAGTTTGAGTTAAAATGAAAATGAAACAAAAAGCTCCACTCTCCAAAAAAAAACCACCACCAAAACAAACAAACAAACATGAAGTCTATTTTGTATTAGCCAACTCCTAGGCATGAGGCATACCCTAGAGTGTGATTGGTATAACCAGTGACACTTCCAAACTGATTTTCCTGTTGTCAGTGGATATCAACTACAAATATCTTATTGGTTAGTCTGTGCCCATTTCTCCCTCTCAGTGATGGCCCCTCATCTGGCTGGAACTTGTGCAGGTCTTAGTGATGCTGGGAGAGTATCTATAAGTTTATATGTGCATCAGCCTGTTGTGTGGGGAAGAGTTTCCTTAGAGTCATCCACCACCTCTGGCTCTTACAATTTTTCTGCCTCCTCTTCTTCATAGACAAAACAGAAAGAAAGGTCTTAATTTTAATAAAGTCAAATTATATATAACAGAACAGTTATCAAGTAAGAACACAGTTATAATATTTTGTCTCTCAACATTTAGCAAAATTTAAAGAAAATATCATCCATCCCATCCTTGTGAGTCCAAAGTTCTATATGCATCTTATCTTTTATAATAACTAAGGAAAACTATAATTATAACTATCTGTCTTCAACTACATCAAAGACCACAGAAGGATAATATATAAACACTAGAATTGACAGAGACATCTTACTGTCTGGACAGTCACCCAAAGTTCCTCTGTAATGTTGGGGCATCCATCTTCAGCCCATAGGCCACAGTGCATCCAGAATATTTTAAATGACATTTTCTGAAGGTCTTTGAAAGGTTTGAAGACTATATATCTCAAGTATATTTCTGTATATAGTTAGAAAACCTAACTTACCTAACTATAAATTCTTACTATTATAAGTAACTATCCATAGTCTGTATATAATTATGTATTATTTTTTAAAAGATCAGTATAAGCACAATACTTAATCAAGAGGAGAAATGTACACATCACAAAATTGACCTCGAATTTGTATCAATAAATGAAAAACCATACCCATACCATAATTCACCTTTTCACCATTAAAAAGAGATTGGCTGTGATCATTAGCCAATTATAAACAACCCCATGTAAATGAAAACAAAGATTTATAAACAAGATGGGAATTAGGACATCACTCATTCCAAACTGCTTCGTGCTGGAAGGGGGGGGGCTCTTCATACCATGGGGATCATGACAAAACTCAGAAACCTGTACAAGTCCGTATTTTCAGGGTCTGTAAGACTGCATCATCTTAGCTGTTTCAATTGTTGGAACACCTGGTCCACTGCTTCCAGGGGTCTTGG